TCATCCAGCAGTGTGCATCACTCCTCAGGTGTTAGAAGTTTTAGGACTTTCTCTCCATCTCTTCACCAGGACCCATGGCTTCCATCATAGCTGCTTCTCAGCGAGTCTCCTTTCAGCTGCCCTCTGCTATGTGGAAAATGACCACTCATTCCATCTGCTCAGCTCAGCTGCTGATCAACTTTGAGACAATTTTGTTGTGATATGGCGCTATATAAATAAACTGAACTGAAAAGGGATGAAAGAAGCTTCCTGTGTTAAGACAGAATGCAAGAATCTGTCTTCAGAAAGGGAGGGGATAGGATAGACCTAGACCCTATTTACACGGACATGATGGGGGGAAACGTGGGTTTTTTCGTATGTTAATTAGAGGAAAAGATCTGCGTTGACGCGGTAGGATTTTGGGTTTACATGCATCTGGAGGAATCCCCCCCACCCTCCTGAATCCGCTGTAGTTACCATGCCGGGTCGTTAGATGGCGCTGTGAATTTTGTACCTTCACCTAATGTGCATGTGTGCTGCCTCGGCACGCTCCTTTCCTCTGGGCTAAAAGCTCAGCTAACAACATCTTAACAACAAGTTAAAGCTGGATTTTGGATGAGAGTCGACAGAGTTGACGCCAAGCGGGACCGCTTCGTCTAACAGCTCCACACCGGTCGCTGAGTGGACCAGAACCGAATCGACAATGATCATGTTGGACTTTACTCCGTGATAATCAGTAGCTGTACAGCAGGTAAATCAACATTCTTAATAATGTTTGCTTGTGTTTACTTTGATCACACAACAACCAACTGAGTTTTTATTTTTATTTTTCCTGAAAGAAGAAGGAGCTGTCCTCCACCAGGCGGACCGGTTCTGAACGAGGCTCGGCCCAGATGAACTGCAGGAGGACGTCGAAGAGAGAGAGATGTTGATGAACTATTTATTTAAAATTCCCCTCAGTTGTTTTATTAAATCCAGTTAATATTTAAAGCTGCATTAATCAAAGGAGTGACAGCCTGAACGAGCCAGATGGACAACGTGGGACTTCCAGGATGAAAACAAGAGTCCAGTTCATTAATGTAGTTTACAGTTAACTTGTTTTTAATAGTGTGTTCAGTTTATTTATCAGTGTTTATGTGACATACAGTTTGTGGTGTTGAATAAATAAATAAAAATTAAACCTGATGTCTTCATTTTCAACTTTAGTGTTCACGTTATATGTTTAGCATCATTTTAAATTTGAATTACATAATGTCCAGATAGCTTCATTTAGCTCAGAGCTTCATTATATTTCAAACTAAAGATAAATACTGTTTATTATTATTAAACTGTTGTTATTTAGCACATTTATGTTATAGTGCAGCGCGACGTGTGCACGTGCCTCGTTCTATAAACAGTGATATTAGAACTGGATCAGATTGTGTCTCTTCCAACACAGATGTTGGTCACAGCACCTGGAATCTGACGTAGATTAACTACGAGATTAAAATATATTCCATCAGTCGAGGTTCTGAAAGCACTGTATCCGCCGCCATGTTGATAGAAATATAGTGTCTGTCCACGCGTGCGTGTGCGCATGTGGTTTAACACAAAGCCTCAGTGGGAGATGTTTACATTATCAGCGGGGGGTCAGAGAAAAACCTCCACTCTGGAAGGTGGGTTCAGAAACCTCAGGATTCAAAGAGGGGGGCCACTGGTGTCGAGTAAATGATCAGCAGAACCACAGAGAGAAAGGAGCGGATTCACTCAAAATACATGCTGTGTAAACGGCCCCCTAGTGTCTCTGAGGACATTTGTCGTTGTTAAGGTTCTTGGAAGGATGAACGCTACATCACTATCCTCCAGACTCTGGGACCTTGATTTCTAAATGACGTGAAAATTTACTTTCATCTGAAAAGAGGACATTGGACCACTGAGAGACAGTCCAGTTCTTTGACTCCTCAGAAGGTAAGACGCTTCTGATATCTCTGGTTCAGAAGTAGCTGGACATAAGGAAAGTGACATTTGCAGCTCATATCTAGGATTGGTCTGTGCATGCGTTTCCGATATGGAACTTTATCACAATATTCTAATTTTCAGAGACACTGAGTTTTGCGTTTTCATTATTTGAAAGACCTAATGAACAAAATTACAAGAAATAAAGACTTGAAATCTAAAAAAGTTAAATCTGGTCCTCTGGACATTAAAAAAAACAAAACAAAGCAAAACAACAAAAAAATCTAGAAACGTTTCGTCTTTCATCCGAAAGATTTCCTCAGTCTGAGGTGCTGTATTCAGCTCAGTCTTCAGATCCCAAAGATCCAGTCCCCCGGCACAAACAGAGTAATGTTGTGTATGCTGTTCAGTGTCAGGAGGGTGATCAGTCTTACATCGGGGAAACTAAACAGCCACTGGCCAAAAGGATGTCCCAGCACAGAAGATCAACATCATCAGGCCAGGATTCTGCGGTCTACACTCATCTCCAGGCCAGCGGTCACTCTTTCAGGGATGAAGATGTTCACATCCTGGACAGAGAGGAACAATGGTTTGAGAGAGGAGTAAAGGAGGTCATCTTTGTGAAAAGAAACCGTCCATCATTAAACAGGGTGGAGGCCTCCGGGTTCAACTGTCCCCCTCTTACAATGCTGTGATTGCTGGTATCACTCAGCCCTCTGTGAACAGTAAACAGCCATCAGGTGCTAATGATCCATTGTTAGGCTGATGGTCCTTCTTGACCATGTGATCAGCTGGTTTTGGTTGTCAGCAGCAAAACTGGTTGATCCACTCTGAGAAGGTTCTATTTAAGAGACTGAGCTGAAAACAGCACCTCAGACTGAGAAAGTCTCTTGGATGAGAGACGAAACGTTTCTACATTTTTTGCTTTGTGTTGTTTTTTGTTTTTTGAATGTCCAGAGGACCAGATTGAACTTTTTTGGGTGAGAAACATGTTTTAAATGTGTGGAATTAAAGCAAATCTAGATGAAATGTTGCTTTTTTTTTGTGCATTGGTGTACATTTCTTTTGCGCACAAACACGCACGCGCGCACACACCTACACACATCGTTGTGTCCCCCCCACATTACGGATGCTTTTGACGCCCTTGCGCTCCGTCATGTCTCAGAATTCAGGCTGACGGCAGCTCAGCTGATCTAAGACCTTATCCAGCGTTTATGCCTTAAAACAACACAAGCTCATTTACATCAAGAGTGATATTTTTGGAGGGTTTTTTCCCTCCTCCCCATAAATCAGAAGAAGAAGCATCTTTCCATCTTCTCTGCCCTGTGCGTGCGTTGAAGTGTTACGTAACATGCACGGCGGCACTGCGTCAGACTCAACACCTGTTTGTGCATTATAGAGATGCATCTGCAGGTCGCCCGTTATCCACCCAGCACCTGTCACACTGGCTGCGTGAGGCCATTTCTGAAGCCTACAGAGCATCAGATTTAGAGGCTCCTGACAACCTCAGGGCGCACTCAACCAGGGGTATCGCATCTTCGACTTCTCTGCATAATGGTATGTCAATGCAGGACATTTGCACTGTGGCTGCATGGTCAACACCCTGCTCATTCATTCGCTTTTATCTACGTGATGTGACGGCTCGTTCCATGACACATTCTGTCCTTAGTGTTACAGAATGAATATTGTTGTTTCATGGAATCTCGTGTAAACTCACATCTGACTGCATGCATTACAGTGTGAGATGTTGTTATCAGTCACAGGTTATGACTGTTGTTCTGGTTCTACTCGTAGAATCTGGGGTTACAGTACGAAACCAACGGTTTTTGTTGTCAGCAGCAAAACTGGTTGATCCACTCTGAGAAGGTGCTATTTATTAGACTGAGCTGAATACAGCACCTCAGACTGAGGAAGTCTCTTGGATGAGAGACGAAACGTTTCTACAGTTTTTCGTTGTTTTGTTTTTTGAATGTCCAGAGGACCAGATTGAACTTTTTTAGATTTTTCTACCTGGATTATTGAGCATGCATCAGGAAAGACTTGAAATATTTCACTCTATGTGTAATGAATCTATGTAATTTATGAGTTTCACTTTCTGACATGATTGACAAAAAACAAACATTTTCACGATATTCTATTTTTTTTTTTTTAGATGTACCTGTATAATGAGGTGAGGTGATCGTTGTTTTTGCACCACATGGGCACATAACTGATCTGTGGGAGGATCAAATACTTGATTTACTGCATGATAAACAAGTCAATTTTCATCATTTATGTAATGTTTTTTTCTGGTTGCATCTCTTTTAAAATTAAACTCTGCCCAAAGTATTAGAGACTGTTAATTTCTCTGTAAGTGGTCAAACTTAAAAACTCAACAGGGGATTAAAAACCAACTTCCACCACTGTATTTGTGTGTCAGCACTAACTCAAATTAAAATAGTCTATTCATCTTCTCTGGGATAGTTTAGACAACACAGCTGAGGTTTAGATTGTTGAAACATGATGGAAGTCAAAGAGAGAAGGAGTAAATTTAAAAAGTTATATTGCATCTTGCTTTGGAACAGAATTGATTGTCTGATTTATACAAAGATATAAACTGATTATTTTGAAACCTAATCTCAATTTTAAATTAAATCATTTCAAGCTCACATTTTCTGGATTTATTTCCCGCTCCTCAATATTATTTTCATCTTAAAAGCGATTAATTAATTAAAAACAGTGCTTTACAGTAAAGCCCCCTGATGTTCACTGCTTATTAGCTCAAGCATGGAGGATCCAGGGGTTTTAGGGGAAGCGGTGGTTCAGCAGCTCCAGCTGATAAGAGCCTTTAACATGAGGCCAAACATGATCTGTGGATGTGTCTTTTTTGACCAGCCCACTAACACATGATGCAGATCATGCAGACTCAGCTTTAAGAGACCGGCTCCCTGTTAGACAGAGGGACACAAGAGGTGTGAAACCTTTCTGCGACACACGCCATAATAAAACGCAGCTCTTCGTTACAACACGCTGCAGGCGGATCCTGCAGACCTCAGGTTTTGGGCATGTGACACACACGCGCGCGCACGCACACACACAGCACTCACTTTGTGCAGAGATTCAGGAGGCAGCTGAGACGCTTTGAACAGCTCTGCCACTTTGCTGCAGGACAGAGTTCCCGGAGAGTCCGCAGCCTGGCACAGAGCATGGAGACCTGAGTAAAACCTGTGCTCAGCTTCGTTCAGGGACACCGAGCTGCCCCCAGACACCGCAGCGCATTCCTGCTCCATCCCGGGCCTGACGCGTGGAGGAGCCACCGGACAAGCACTGCAGCCCAACGCGTCCTGCTCCAGGCTCCCAGCTGGGCGGGGTGCGCAGTGGTGAAACCCTGGAGACACACCGCCCGGTCCGCGCCCCTCCTACTTGTAGCAGTACCACAGTGCGCCTGGTGGGGGCGACAGAGCTCGGATAAATAAATAAATAAGACCCTGATTTATTTTCTACCGCAGAACAAATATAATCACCTTCATAGTGCAGGTTTTACAGTTGGGTCATTTCAGAGCTGTGCAAAACTAAACATGTCGTCATGACAATAAGAAAATAAATGAAACAAATTATGATTAGAAAATGTTTTTGTTTTAATGTGATTGTAGAAATAGTTGGATTTCGACTCTGACTAAAAAAAACTTGCTTAAATGTTCTCTTTTGCTTTTGTAACCATAAAATACACATCTTAAAGTATTAAAAACATCTAACTAACTCAATTGTGCTATGTAAGATGTCAGAAAACTGGCAAGGTGAAAAAAAACAAACTATTTGGCCAAGTTAGCTGCAAGGCCATCTCTTGAACCACTGCAAACACTAGAGATGAACAAATGGAATACTGGTTTATAATGGCTGCCATGATGCTGTATTTATCTGGAGATGGAACACAGACCTCTGCTGGATGTACTGCATGTGCAGCATGAGTGCGTTTGGAAAAGGTATGAGTCATAAATCAAAGATACAAATGAGAGTAAAAAACACAATATAAAATCCAGTCCATTTAGCCGTTACAATGATCCCAGTCTGTAACTAAAAGGTCTTTAAGCCAACAGAGTTGAACAAAAACAAACCTTTGGTTTCCCCAGACAAAGTTGTAACCTGAATTCCTTTATCGTAAAACTGAATGACCCTTTAGACAACAGACGTGTATGAGATATAAAGACCCGGAATAATGACGATAACTCTTCGTTTGGCTGAGTTAGCTTTAGTCATAAATGAAAAACTTGACAAATGATCCTCTTTGAGTCTCTGCTCCTGCTGTTCTCTGAGGTAAACTATCCGTATCAGAGTCGCCTGGGCATTTTATGTAAATAAGTGTTGAGCAGAACTTCCTTTATGTAAAAATACATGTACAAAATACATGTACAAAATACATGTACAAAATACATGTACAAAATACAAGTACAACATACGTGTACAAAA